TGCAGCGAGCCATCTGGACAAGGAGCAAGTTCTGCTGCTGAGCTATGTAATACTTGAACAGAGAGAAGGACAATGCGATCGCTGGATTAGAATGCCTATTTGAGTCGCCACTTGGACTTGACCTCCTTCTCCATCGCGTTGAACGCTTCCTTTGTATCGGCGCGTTCGCAGTAGGCGTTGGGCGGGAGCACGTGGGCGTAGACTTTGAGGACGTCTTCGTCGTCCTTGGTCGAGCCTGAGACGCTGAGGTCCTGCGCGAGGTGCTGGTTGCTCACGAGGCGATCGCGGACCAACTCGGGGAGCGCTTGGCGGCCGCGGAACTGGCGACGCACCAAGTGCGGGATCAAGTCGGCCTTGATGCTGGCAATGTGCTTCTTCTCCGCCAAGAGGTCGAGCACCCAGTGCGAGAAGATGTACACGTGCGCGTCGTAGAGGTCCGTGTGCATGTTGATGCGCGGGCGGCGCTTGAGGAGCGCGCGGGGCACTTCGAGGTCGTCGTTCTCGTACACCGAGTGGGACACAAACACGACCCGGTTCTCGGCGTCGACCATGCCGATGCAGTCGATCATCTCTTCGTCGCGGCGCGGCTTCTCCTTGCTCGCGGCCTTGCTCTTCGCCGTCGGGACCTCGGCGACCTCTTGCTTGAGCAACATCGTCACGGTCGCATCGTTGATACGGTGCAAGTCGGCCACGTTGTGCAAGACGCAGTCCGTGATGAGGTCGCCCGCGAGCACGATAAAGTCGGACCGGATCTTGTCGGCGACCGCGCGGAGGGCGTCGGCGGTCTCGGTGGCCTCGCCTTCGACGGCGACGACGGTCACCGAGATCTTGCCGTCGTACTGCCCAAGGACGTACGACTGGACTTGGTCGAGCATCTCCTTGGCCGTCACGAGAAGCACGTCCGAGAAGCCCGAGTTCTCAAGCAGCGCGAGCTGGTAATAGATGAGCGGCTTGCCGTTGACGAGCAGGAGCGGCTTGGGCGTCTCCTCCGTGAGCGGGTAGAGGCGGACGCCCGACCCGCCGGCGAGGATCACTGCTTGGTACTCGGCCATGGACACCAATAAAACTTTCTGACGCACGCTAAAGCCTCGTTTAACGCGATTTGCGTTGAAGAGTAAAACCCGCGACGGTAAACGACTTTTCGGTATTTTAACCGTCGGGCATACCAGTATGCGGGGAATCCCAGTATGTATGCGCAAGGACGCCACGCTCAAATTTCGCGAACTCGAACGGTATTACACGCAGTGTGTCGAATGCGTCGTAGAAGCACTACGGACGAGTACGTGAGTATGCGGTGTGGCCCCAAGCCATGGCCGCCTTGGAGCGAGACAATGGTATTGTTTGATTCCCTTGCAGCGGCAACCAACATGGTGAAACCGAAGTCGCATCGAGGCCCTAGGCTTGTTGGAAGAAAGATGCTACAGGGGAGCGTTACGCGTGATGGACGGTGGCGTCAGGCCTCTACAGTACGGTGCGACTCAAGGGATAAAACATGTTTGTTATATTTCCTTGTACGACGGCAAGTTCCACGAGCGAACGCGTAATTCTTGAGCCAAGAGCGGTGATCGGGACGAAGGCTGCCGACGGCATAGCACCGATTCAGTCGAAGAGGATGGGTATCCTGGGCCGCATCGTCGTTGCGTCGTCGTGGGCAAGGGATTATTCTCTTATGATAGAGCGTATACGAACGCAGTGGGACGAGAACGACCTTTAACCTATGTTTAACGTATTTACCCGCTATACGGATTTTGTATCCGGATGATATTTCTGGAATACGACGGAATATTACGGTCCTGCAGCACGCCCGAGGCCATGAGTGGTGCGACGCATTTTATTTTGTCGGATAAAATGTCCTGGTTGTATGCAAACATCAGAAATGGATGAAAAAATTAACTTAATTTTTATTGTCGCGTTGGATAATAATACACCGCAGCTCGCAGGTTGTGACCAGCACGCATGAACGACGGCAACCCGTACGACTACCTGCTCCAGCGGCCGGGCGGGCGTGGCCACCCGATGCAGCCGGCAGCGCCGCCCACGCATCATGCGATGCCCCCGAACCCGATGGCCATGGGCTACTCGTACCCAGACCCAACTTCGGGCATGCTCGACATGTCGATGGCGATGAACCCGATCCCATACAACGCGGGCAGCTACAATCCGATGCCCATGATGGGCCATGGCCACCATCTGCTGCCGGGTGGCAGCCACCACGGCATGGGCCCGCCGTCCATCGACCCGACGTTCCACCCGGCGTACATGCCGCCGTCGCGCCCGGACAATGGTATCAACTCGTACTATATGATGAACGACGGCGGCATGAACTACTCGTCGCCCATGTACCCACCGCCGCCGCAGCGTATGCTCCTATACGAAATCCCTTGGTGCATTGAGCAAACTGTAGAGTCGGTTGAGCTGCCGCGGGCGCCGGTCCAGCGCCCGACGCCGAGCGTGCCAAAGGCGAACACGACACCAAAACCAGGTCCGGCACCGACGAGCACGTACCAGCCGCTAGCGCACGTCGCGATTCCGCCGTCTCGGCCGCTCGAGCCATCGACGGCCATCACGAGCGCACCGTCGTCGAGTACGCACAAGGCCGTGTCCGAGGCGTCGTACGAATCGGGCGAAGAGAACGTCGCCAAGTCGGAGAAGCGCCGGAGCCAAGTGCGCGACGCGTCTCGCCGCCGCCGTGCCAAGCACAAGGTCCATCCTCTCCATCATCTACATCCATCGATCTCGGCTCAATGACCATACATCGCGATAGGAAGAGGAAGCGATGCTCGTCAACCGCATCAAGGAGCTCAAGCAACAAGTGCAGATCATGGAAGGCTCGCATCCGTCAAGCGATGGCGGCGCCCACCCCATGTCGGCCATGTCGGACCACGACCTCGAGCAGGCGTTCAAGGACCAGAAAAAGGTCGTCGAGACGCTCAAGGCCGAGTACAAAGACCTGAAAGCCCGGCTCAAGCACCACGAAGAGTTTGCGCGGTCGCTTCAACAAGGCATCCAAGCGCTCTCGGTACATTTCTTTTGGACGCAACACCATCGACGTCCACACTCCGTAGGGCTCGGGAGGTCCGGCAATGAACACGCTCATGGGCGGGTTCAACAGCATGGTGGCCGAGCTGCCTGCTCAAAGCTTTGACTGGAGCTGGATCCACCGCGGCGACATGGAGTGGGTTCACGAAGTCGTCCGCACGGGGTTCCAAGAACTCAACCACTGGAAGCCGCCAACGTCGGCCAACGGTACCGTCGATTTCCACGACATTTCTGGATTCAATGGGGATTGCAGAGCCCGTGAATGCGTCGGCGATGGGCTGGACGAGTGACTTTTGGGAAGACGGCGATCGGACCATGTGCTTTTCCACGCACAAGTTGATGCGCGACGGCGTCCTTCGGGACTTTGTCGACAAGACATGGGGCATTCTCTCCAACCGCGACAAATCGCGGCGCGTGTACCCCGACTGGAAAGAGCTCGAGGTGCGCGAAGAGGAGCCTTGGATACAGATATGTTCTTGTTGATACGACGATCGCCTAGGTGCTCAAATGGGTCAGCGAAGACATTGCGATCGTCCGCATCTTCGAGTCGGTCGGCCCACGCAACGTGACGTTCTGCGCTGTCGTCTTTCGCATCTTTGTCGACGAGCAGCACTACCTCGTCGGCATGAAGTCGTATGCAATGACGCCGCCCCGTACGTACCTTCCCTCGTGTCAAGTAATCTCATTTCTACATAAACCTAGTGCGCCAGATCACCGCGTCCATGCGTGCACAAGAGGCGTGTGCGTGGAAGTTCTCCGTGTCGCGAACCGAGCCCGGCGTCGACGTCGAGTTTGTCGGCTACCAAGACGTGGACCAAACCGTCAAGAGCAAGGCTGGCATGGAAGCCATGTTTGTCATGCTGCGCTGGGAGAGCGAGGCCGTGACGCAGCCCGTCTTTCGCCCCCCACACAATCGGCTCATCCAGTAGCCTCGATTATTGCCGTTCGAGAACTAGAGCAATCGAGCAAGAGAGCGCGTGCTTGTTTGATTTTTGATGGCGTCGTCTTTGTCAATCAACCAGCGGCCAGCGACGTCGCGGAGCGAGAAGACGGCAGCAGCACACGATGTGTCGTCTCGATGCGGCAGCGCTACGTCTGCAAATGGGACCATGCCTGCGACATTGGGTGCAATGACGTGGCATGACACGAGGCGAGGTGGGCTTGAAACTGCGCAGAGAAATCAAAGAAATCAGAAAGCAGCGCACACTCGTTATGAGCTACATGTAGTGCGCCGACAAGTCGACGCGTCGTCTGCAGACAACCCATTTTATGCCAAGATAGATAGCGCGGCTTGTGCCTTATCCGGATATTGGCATCCGGTTACTGCAGCAACCATGGCGAACTTTTGGTTTGTTGGCGCCCTTCGAACATGCAACACTGCGTGCACAGGGCAGCTGCCTCAAAGCAACCTCCTTGGTCATGGTCAAAAGCCTCGCTCCGCAGCCTCAGCTCTGGCGCGTCGACGTTGGACGTAGCACCAGCGTGTGGCTTGGGCACCGACAGTGGATCAGCACCATCGTCTGCGGCGAGCTCATCGATGGGTAGGACGCAGCGTATCAGTCGTCCATTCTGGACCCTTCGCCCGGTATTTTGGCCGCGTCAGTACGTCAACAGTTCAACATGCCTCAGGAATTCACCCGGTAGGGCCGTCACGCTGTCGACAATACGTCGGTCCTATGCGATAGTCTAGGCTTCAAAACGGCCAAAGTGTCGCCGACTGCGTGCATATCCATACGCCTATCGACGCAAACCCGTTCAAGCTGCTCGACGACGACATGGCTTCGGTCGTCACGAGCATTCGAGCTCTTGTCACCTCGGACCACCCCGGGCTCGACGCCGCCGCCTCGTACACAAATACCCCACACTGCTTAACCAACTTCATTACGTGGCGTAGGTAGTACTGGTTTGAAAGAGGCGGCGGGAAAAAGGTCTGCCCGACGATGTTGCTACTCATGGCCCAGGCTGCCGACGCTGCGACAGAGTCGTCGACCAAGTCGCGCGCTGGCATTGCCGCCTCCCAACAGCGCCTAGCCGAAGTCACGTATGACGAACACGTCGTATGACGCCATATATTGACATTTTTGCTTTAGGGAGATCATCCATGCGATGAGTTTGCTGCACGACGATGTCCTTGACAACGCCGACACCCGTCAAGGCGTCGCATCGGCCACCAAGGTCTTTGGCTCCAAGCTCTCTGTCCTTGTGGGCGATTTTCTGCTTGCGCGGGCCTTGCGTCGTCTCGGACGACTTGGAAACCTCGAGGCATTCGAGCTCATGACAACCGCACTCGAGAACCTCGTACAGGGCGAGGTTCTTCAGATGCGTTACGCGGACACGAGCGATGCGATCTCGCCGTTCAACGACTACCTCCGCAAGAACTACTACAAGACTGCATCGCTCTTGGCCAACAGTGCTCGTCCTCGGCGAGCACTCGCAGGATGTGTGCGACTTTGGTTTTGCTTACGGCCGCCACGTCGGACTTGCCTACCACGTTGGTACTTGCGCAGCATTTTGCCGTCTTATGCATTCTAGCTCATGGACGACGTCTTGGACTACGAGGGCGAACGCACGGGCAAATCGAGGCTCGCAGACCTCAAGGCGGGTCTCGCGACAGCCCCCGTTCTCCCTGGCCCCAGGAAGAGTTCCCGGTCCTCGCGCCGCTCATCGCGCGTCGTTTCAGCCACGCTGGTGACATCGAGCTCGCGGCCACTCTTGTCAAGACCAGCACGGGGCTTGAAAAAAGCAAACACATTGCCATGGTTCAGGCCGAGCTTGCGATTCTCGCCATCCTGCAGTACCCGCCGTCGCCAGCGCGCGACGCACTCATAAAGTTGGCGCAGCTCGTCGTGACGCGCTCGTCGTGACGCACCATCCATTAAAGAAGGCATCCGTGGTAGCTCGTGTGTTGCGTGGGGAAAGCGAGGCCGTGGCGCACCCCGTCTTTTGTCCCCCTCGGCCCTCGGCTCTTGTAGTAGGTAGTATTCCTTCTTGTGTCGCCGTGGGAGAACCGACCAATTTCACAACATATCGGACGCTTCTTACTCGTAACTTTTGTTGGCGTCGATCGATAAATGGCAAAAAACGTCGCACGCGTGTGCCTTCAAGAGGTCCTGGCCGGCGCTCGAGAGCTTTGTCCCACGCAGATGGAGATGGCCAAGGTGGGATAGGTACGCCTGCAGCCTCGGGGCATCGTGGTCGCCAAAATCGTTGCCGCTTAACTCCATGTGCTCGATATGGGCAAACATCGGCACGGTCCTTGCAATCGCGTCCGATGTGTGTCCCGACATGCTCAGGTACAGTGACCGCACCGAGCCTTGACGGCGCAGACACGCCACGAGCTCTTGAAGAAGGGTCGATGTCGGCAGAAACTCGACGCCCGACAGACCCAACCCAGCGTGTGCAGTGGGAGCTTCTCGATGGCCTCTAGCAACACGCTGTATTCATTGGCATGAAGAGGCGCCAACTGCACGCCGACGGGCAGCTCACGGACGTGTTGCAGGGACCCAAGCGCCATGACGGCGGTCTTGATCTCACTCCAATCGCCGTCGACTGTCCAGGCGGTCACAGCAGACAAGGCTGGTTGCGTCATGGTCATAATGGCAGCGCAAGCATGTGCTTGGTGTTGCCGACGTTGTGAGGTACCGCGCCAGCTGCGCACTCTCGAAGAACGGAAGGCTTTGTAGGCGCGGCGACGTGCGCAAGGCGTCGTAGAGCGTTTTGGCCCCGACCGCCGTCACCGAGAGATGGTGCAAGTACAGCGTCGTGATCGGAAAGGTCGCGAACGTTTAGGCAAGCGCTGTGACGGCAGCGCTACGTCGCTGAATCGACTACCACGGACATCTCCACCCTGCGCAGCGTAAGCTTGGTGTGAGCGGGCAAACGATCGAGCGTCGCGCGTCGACAGCGCGTCGATCGGCTCAGCGAGGTACATTTACATGGCGCACAGACGCGGCGCGTTCGCAACATATTTTGCAAATGTGCGAAGCGGTACCATGTCAATTTGCAAGTTGGTCACGCGCGCCAGCAATGACGTCTCGAGGTCGGCAACGCTGCTGTCGTAGTCCCACTAGACGACGTCCGCACCCGGCGACACCAGGGGCAGGTGCTAGTCTGGCTCGTTGGGGTCTATGAGCACGTACGGATGATGTTTGAGCACGCGTGGAAAGAGCGCTTCGTGGCCAACGGACGCCAAAGCCGTGCGTTGGACGTCAAGGATCGGCCACAGCATCCATGGCACGATCACATACCCGCTCCAGCGCCACGAGGAGCGAGCTCTAGCCAGCGCGAGGAAGCGCATGTAGCGCCGAGAAGAAGGCGGTAGTCGTGTCATGGTAGCACATGATCATCTCAATGATTTTTGCTGTGGCAGCGCCTGCCCGAACGACGTCGGCTTGATGCGCTTGATCGTGGTCGAGCAAAGCGAAAACATAAGAAGAGGTCTAGCTAGCTAGATAAGAAGAGCTCTACATAGCACCTCGATTGTTTTACTGCAGACACAAACGTTGCATCACGCCGCTTGCTGTCAAGGCCTACCCTCCTTCCCATCAAACGCCACGTTTACGCGTCCTTTCGCTTCATGTCGAGCGCGCGAGCCATCACACGGCGCTTGGTGCCATTGCGATACGTGCCAGAGTCTTCGCTGCAGAGACTGTCTTCGCTCTTGATGTCGACCCACGACGTCTCCGTGTCGTTGCTTCGCTGCGTATGGTGCGTTTGAGCGCGGTTCGTGAGCCGGTACTGACCCCGCGACCGGTACTCGGCGAGCGTTTGCATCGCCTCTTGGCAATCGCGCAAGTCGTCGAGCAGCATTTTCTCTTGACCAACGGTCGCATCCAAACGCAAGTCGGCGAAAGCTCGTTGAAGCTTCTTACTGAGCGCTGCGAGGCGGGCTTGGCCGAGGTCGAGGCGGCCGTCGTCGGCCTCGCGTTGGGCAGTGTCCATGGCATCGGCCGTCTCCAGTCGGTGCATTTGCCGCGTGACAGTCAGACTCACCGAGGTGTCGGTGACAACGCTGGGGCGATCAATCGCGCTCATGGTCGACATGGTCTCAATGCGGGACGTGAGTACGTTGACGTAGCGCAGACGAAACTCGACCAAGTGCTGCCGACTGGTTTCGGTACTCTCAGAGGTCTCGACGTGCACGAGAAGATCCCGTAGTTCTTCGCTGTACAAGTCGCCGAGCTCAATCACGTAGTGCAGCCCCGGCGCCTGGACACGCTGGGGACGCTTGGTGTTGACCTCGAGGATGCGGACACCGGGGGACGCGGCGAGCACTTCGAGTTGAATGTTTTGAGCCACGACGCTGAGAAGCCCCCCGAGGCAGTCGGCGAACGCGAGCGAGACAGCGTCTGCGTTCTCAACAAAGTAGTAGGCACCACGGCCAAAGTCCGAGATGCACCGCAAGAGCTTGGCGTCGTGGTTGTCACCATAGCCAAAGGTAAAGAGAGACACGGGCGACGACGGCTCTGGTCTACCGGTCGGAGGAGCGTTAGCTTGTTCGGTGGGATGGAGGGCGTCGTTGTAGCAGCTCTCTAGGATACTTAGAAGCGGCAACGACTTTACCACTCCGTAGTTGGCAAGTCCATCCGTCAAGAGGAGCACCGACCGGATAGGGTTGGGCGACCCGCCATCGCTTCGCTCATGGCGTTGAATCTCATCCAAACCAGCGAAGAGACCGCCACTGAGGTTCGTGCAGGTTCCGGCTTGAATGGTGCGGACGCGCTTTTCGAAGAGCGCCTTCCCGTCCTGCGTCATGAGCGTGAGGGGTTGGACGGTCGTCACGTCTCTGTCGTACACCACCAAACTCACGCGGTCCATGGCCGAGAGCTCCCGCGACAGAAACGTCAGCGTCGTCTTGCACAAATCGAGTTTCTTCAGCTCGGCCATGCTCGCCGACTTGTCGAGGACGATGACGAGGTCGATCGGCTGGCGCTCGTTGTCGTCGCACTTGGGGGCCTCGATGTGGCAGTTGACAAACGTCGTCGCATTCTTCTCGCCCGCTGCGATTTGCTTGTGCTCGGTCGCACACGACAGCGAGAGGCTCTTGTGCATAAACATCGACGACGTGGGTGCTCGAGTAAACGCAAATTGGAAACTGACGACTGGGACCAAGTACGATGCGCTCAAGCGTACTGCAACGAGCGGTGGCACGCCCTTACCCTATTGCTCAGCCCCTGCACTACGGCTTATGTCACCCACCTCCATCAGCTCTTTCTTGCACGCTCTCGTTGACTTGATATTTTACGTACTTTCGGCTTGATAGTTTGATTGTTTACACTGCCATCCAATCGATTGGTCGCATCATCGAGCTTGTAAACGTGTCGTCAGTCAATAGGGAAGTATATACTTGCCTCGCAGGGTGCCTCGTCGTCGTTGACCGTTGCGATGGAAGACTGACTGACGAGTCATACCCAAGTTCCCAATGTTGATACCCGGTGAACCTACGCTAGACGCGTGGGCGTTGATGCACCAAAAGCACTTGGCCGTTGGTGCGACGTCGTAATTTTTTGCAAGAGTACGTGCGTGTGACCCAAGGTTTACCTTCTCGAGTGCTTTCTCGGGCCAGAAACTCCTTCCGAACCCCTTCTTTAGCACGGTTCCAATCAACTTGGCGCCGAACGACCCGAAATTATCAACCAGAGCATCGCGACTGTTGCTCATTACAAGGCCTCGGACTGCCCGGACTGGGGCATGCGGGCGTTCAGCCACTGGATAATGGTCTGCTCGACCTCGTCGCGCTTGGACTCGCGCATGAGCATATGGCCAACACCTTCAAAAACAACGAGATCCTTGTCGTCGCTTGGGACATCGCGGACAAACGCGCGGATGCTCTCGGGGCACACGATGCGCTCGTCGGTGCCCATGACGATGAGCAGCGGCGTCCGAAAGTTGGTCTTGAGCTCGTCGAGCTCCTCCATCGCGCGGAGGCACTGCTCGGCCGTCCGCGCGGGCGTCATGCCGTGGTACGACAGCTCGTCTTGGTCAAACTCGAGGAGCGCCGCGGGCTCGCGCGACAACTCTAAAACAAAAGAGTCGTCCATGAGTCTTTCGCGTCGCGTCCAAGCCAGTCGGAGTGTACTCTCACGCTCGACGCCGGGCACGATGCGCCACGTTGGAAAGTAGGTCGAGAGGAGATAGGCAAACACCTTTTGAATCCGGAGGACCCACGTCATGGGCACATTGATCGCCGGCGCGATGAGGACGACAGCATCGAACGCATGGAGCTCGCGAGCAATCGTCAAGGACGAGAAGAGGCCGCCGATGGATGAGCCCATGAGGATGTACTTGTCGACGTGGACCTCGAGCTTGTCGACTTCGGCCTTTGTGAGCGCGATAAACTGGTCAATGTCGTCTAGCAAATGCTGGTAGCGCTCGAGGTAGACCCTCTCTCCCTCGCTCTTGCCATGGCCAATGTAGTCGAACGCGAAGACGGCGTAGCCGGCCTCGGCGAGCCGCTCGAAAAAGTCGAGATAGCCCGACGAGTGGTCGCCGAGACCGTGGAGAAACACGATGACGCCTTGCAGCGTCTCGATCTGCGGCACGAGCGACTGGTAGAAGAGCTCCACGTACCGGTCGTTCGTGAACGTGTCGGTCGTGTGGATTGAGTGCGTCTTCTCGGCGGGCATGGCGGTTCAGATCTGGATGCGACCCGAAAGGGCAAACACCTCTACCATTTGATACACTGCAATCAGGCATAGATTCATTTATTAATATATAGAGGGATCTATTGTAATTGGTTGATTTGGACCAATGGCATCACCGCAATGGTGCAGTCGAGAACGTGGGTGGGATGAAGGCCGCGTCATTGTGAGCGCAGACGGTGTCGACACGAGTTGCAGCTCTCGCTACTAGCACTCTACGGAGCATACTACTAGAGTTGATGTCGTCAAGGTTGCCGAGCTTTTCGAGTGGGCCATTGCAAGGTTGCGATGGGTTGCACCTGGCTACTACATGTACCCCGCCACGAGACATTGTTGATGCAGCTGCCCAGGAGGATGATCCCTTCCAACGTGATCGCCAGTCCACTGTCCGAGCTGACGAGGCACCCATCAGTGCCAGCTAGCAGCGCCAGAAAGCTCACAGCGATAAGCACAGAGTGTGGTTGACTTAGCTGTGATATGCAGGCCCATAGACAGCAATACCCTCCTCACCGAAAGGCTGCGCGGTACTCGGTGCGCATCTTGGTCAACGTTGACGAGAGAAGCTGCACACGGATGCGGTCCTTCTCTTGCAGTCTAAGCACCGATAAGATACTGCCAACGCGATAAATGGTGCCACGTACAGGTCAATCTTCCACTGCTTGCGCGTCTGTGGCGTCGAGAGATCCGCGCTGTTGGACTTGAGGCTCTTGATGAGGTCGCTTGGCACCTCAACATTGGCCAGCATGGTCTTGCGCGCAACGACACTGGGGCGCAGCATGTCGTGCACAGCGACACCAGGAGAAGTACCAGCAGAAAGTGCTGTTGCAACCGGTGGCACACTCGGCTTGTCGCGCGCAATGAGGTCGCCATGCGTCACCGCGAGCTCGTGCAGGCGGCTCAAATTGCTTTCTGGTGCGTAGAACTCGCGCACCTGGTACGGACGACCGAGCACGTGGTCTCTATATGTACAGCCACGGGTCGCGCGGGCGTCGGCGGCGAACCTGGGGGCACCACAGCACGCGTGGTGCGTCGAGGCTTCGAGGCCTGACGAAATCGATGTACTCGCTGGTGGCGGCGGCGGGTGGTGCACACACTCTTTGAATTCCGAGCCTGTAAAGAAGGTGTGGCACTCGACACAGTAAAAGCACTGGAGCGCTCCCCATAGCTTCCAGTAGGTCGTCTTGGGCGACGCAGCGAGCGCCTTGAGCCACGGATCGACCTTCCAATCCCCGCGTGGCTCGTGGCGAGACAGCACTTGGCCGAATGCGCCGATGGTCGGAATTGCGTCGCGGCAGTGCAAGACGCTGATGTGACCGCTATAGTAAATGACGCTGCACGCCGCGCATTGGTCCAGACTCGTCTCGAGCTGCTTGAGATGCCCGAGTAAATGGCCGATGCGCTTGGTGTAGAGCTTGTAGCAGAGCTTTTCTTTTCGCGGCTCGATCATATCGAGCTGTTCGAGGGAGCACTTGAGCGCGATCGCGTCCAAAATGCCTTCCGAGACGCAGAGGAGGTCGCCCGGCATGTCGACGACCGACTCGAGATGGGTGCCAATGAACGACGTGCACTCGTTGACAAGATAGTCCATTTGCAAAAAGTCGGAGGAGATCAGAATCGGCGTCACGTTCTCGACACCGAGCTTGGTGAGTGGCGACGTGCCGACGCCGTTAGCCGCGTGCACGTAGTTGTACAGCCACTCAAAGATGCCGACGTCGCAGTGCACCGAGATGTCAATGTCCTCGTTTGAGCCCGCGTCACTCAGATATGCGCTAAAGTACCGCATATTTTCCAGCAGCAGCGCCTTGTTGCAGGTAAAGTCCCGGTTGACCTTGCGAAATTCGTCGCACACGTGGATGACGATGGTCTCGTCACGCATTTTACGTGGCTTCTTGTCACTTGCCTCGAGAGTCGGCGCCTTCTCATCGACGCTGCCTCGGATCGTGCGCGGTGGAGGTCGCATTGACCCTTTGCGCTGCATGTTGGCCTGTCGCCTCGACAAAAGCGTATCTTTCAATCGACCAATCATGTCGCACCGTGCCTCAAACTCGACTTTTATGGAATATTTTTCAAATGGAAAACAGGAAAAGGTGTCTTATGCATTGTTACTCGACAGATCGTAGCTAGATTGAGGTGCAGGCCCGCGCGCCGACAGCGGGGGCAGCTTGAGGCGGCTCGGCGATACCTCGGAGCGCCGCATGGCGTGTGGCGCAGTCGCAATACGGCGTAGCTCAGGGCGTTGGAGCCCTGGAGGCAGATGAATGTCGCCGACCGACCGCGTTGAGAGCAAGTGAGCGGGCGACCGCGGCGATGCCAGTGGCGAGTTGGTGAGATCATTGGGCGCAGGACCACGCCGCGGTTGCCTACATTGAGAATTGAGGTTGGGGCTAGGTCACGAAAAGTTGCGTGTACGGAGATGCATGTTTGGTAGCGCTGCAGAGAAGCTAGACAGAACGGCAATATTGACCAAATTGGTGTCATGCGATGGCGCTACCTCAGCATCGCGCCCCTCGTCTTGGTTGGTATCCCGCGCAGTCGGTGTAAGTGGTTCGAGCTTGACAAGTTTCTACACGTTGACTGAGTCGGAAGACGAAGGCTGCATGCACGCAACCTTGGCCCGGTGACGCATCGAAGGCGACGGGACGACGTCGGGTGCTTGTAAAATCGAGAGGACTTTGAATTTGGGCATCGGGGCGTCGTCTTCTTCGGGCGTCTACGTGCATGCAATTTATTGCACTTGGCCAAACATTCGCGCCGCGTACGGAGAGCTTGAGAGCCGGTGTTGCCGGCTTCTCGGAGACGGCCAATTTGGGCTTGGATTTCTACAGGTGGTGCGTTGGCTCGCCTTGATACATAAAGGTGCAGTGCGCACCGTGGTGGACACCGTCTTGAGCGGGGAGTTACTGAGGGGGCGTGACGTGGCATCCGCTCTGATCTTCTTGCGCTCCCGTCGCACACTCTTCAAGAAAGGCGACAGCAGCAACTGTTTGGCGTCTGGCCGCTTACTGGGGTCACGCTGGAAGCACGCGTGAAGGAAGGCAATTGCCTACGAAGTATTTAGCACGGAGATTCGGACGAGGAGGCGTCGACGTATGTACCTCGGCCGGCAAGTCGTTGGGGACCTTTGGAATCGAGTCACTCGAGACGATCTTGTACATGGCAGTGAGCGGGTTGCTGAACTCGTGCCACGGCGTCTGGCCCGTGAGCATCTCGAGCACGGTGCAGCCAAGGCTCCAAATATCGGCCTTGATCCAACTAGATTTACCATGAGGATCGAGTGAGCGACACAACATGAGCGATCGACGGTGTGTAATTTACCCTTCGCTCGTTTGTTGTTCCTTGATGACTTCTGGAGCCTACACCAGCCGCATTCGCTCACACCATTCGCCAATGATATCAGGAGTACCATCCAGTGGGGCGTTCCCTTGAGCCCCCCGACGACCGAGACGCTTCCAATTTCCTTGAGGGCGCCAAAGTCGGCCAACTTGAGCTGCGATTGGTCCAAATTCAACAGCACGTTGGCGCTCTTGATGTCCCTTGACGAGAATGACGAGCCTTAACACACGCGATCGATGGCAACGCGTACCGGTGCGCGATGCGGTGGTCGTGAAGAAACTGCAGTGCGCGCAGGAGCTGCCACGTATAGCGCTGCGTTCGCTCGAGCGTGAGAGCACCACCGACCGCGCGTATGTACGCGCTAAGCGAGCCGCCCGGCATGTACTCCATTGAGATCTCCAACGTGTGGCGGCGCTTCTTCTGCTTGACCCCGTCGTAGTGCACAATGTGCTTGTGTGTGAGCCCGTGCATGATGGTGGCTTCGCGCATGAGTGCGTCCTACACACCATTTCCGTTTGGTATCGTTAAAGCAGACGCCGCATCTACGATTTCATCGGCCGAGAGATCCTTCGTGCTCAGCTCTTTGAGCGCCACGACGCGCGTGGACGGTGGCATCTCCGTGCACTTGTACACGATGCCATGCGCGCTACGCCACGATATGAGGTCGTCGGTAGCCCAATTGATGGGACGTGCGGAGTACCCTTGGCCGATTTTTTCCTTCTTGAGCCACTTCTTCTTCTTCGCCGCAGTCTCGGTCATGGGGCCCGCCGCCAAATCGACAACTGCATTTGTATGCTATCATTAGACGATCCGTGGCGTGGGATTAGCCAAGCCTTTTCGATCGCTTGACGTGGACCCAAGCTAGGCAGCGATCATACACGACAGACCGTCATATTGAGGGTTGCGATTCCAGCGACGAATGGCGAGCCAAGCGTGCAGGGTGCTTGCAAAAACGAGTTTGGCCTTGTGCGAAAACGAGTTTGTTCTAGCTGTGAAAAAGGTCCCCTGTTTGAGTACAGGTACAAACAAAGAAGCGCGTTGGTGTATCAAGGACGTTAGTGGTGGCGACGACGATATCTACTGCAACTTGCGTGTGACTTCGGCGAGTGCTTATAAGCCTTGCACAAAAGACGCAGACGAGCGTTCATGAGACAATGACCTGAGGCAACTCGCCTTTTGAACTCAACTCTCGTTTTGCAAGAAACGTTTCGTGACTGCTCGGCGTATGGCGGCAGCGGGCACCATCTAGCCGTCCGTCTCGTTCTACCCTTCTACTGTACATGGGGTGTGTCACTAGTCAGCCGCACCCTGCCTCCATTGCCGTGACCCACGATCCTGACCCCGCCCCCCGCAGCCTCGAAGAAGAGCGAGTTATCGATAGCCGCGTCATGTCCCAGCCCCAGCTTTCGACCACGAACGCCCGTGCGACCACGGACCTCGTCAAGAAGGTGACCACCGACGTCCACGACTTTGATCTGGACGGTCACGTTGCACAACCCGCTGCATCGCTCAAAGACCCGACGCGCGACCGAATCCAGCCAAATGTGTTTGCTCTTGCTGAGCTCCCAGCACAGAGTCTACCAAGCAGCAAGAGTCCTTTGCCGCAGCTAAAACTTCCTAACGCAGCCCTCACAAACCAGCCCGCGCTCGAGTACGCTTTCTCTCGACCACCGACACCCAAAACGATCCAGCCCAGTACCAATTGCGACATCCGGAAGGCGTCATTTCGGGGACGCGGGAGCTTTCGAGGACGGGGCGGGCGTGTGCCACCGCCGGGCCGCCCCCCCGCCACAGTCAACACGACTCCGACGCCATTTCTGGCGGCCGCCGACTCTGGTTTTGACGACGATATGATTCAAGTCGTCGACACAAGCGGGTCCGAGAGCGACAACGGCAGTAGTTTTGCCGATGTCGAGCCAGCGGAAGCCCACGACTGGCTTGCCTCGAGCCACTCGTTTCTTGGTGCAGCATCCATCGTCGGTAGTGACGACTCGGACAACGACGATGACGACGAGGGCGTCAACGATTGGCTCCAAAGCGGGCCACGCCCCGATCTCCCTATCAAAGACAAGCATCATGCAAGCATCCAGGAGACGCCCGACATCCCGGTGCAATCCAAAGCTCGCACGGAGAGTGTCGAGATGAAGGCTGGAGGCACCAATGAGCCTCTGCCTCTCGTAGCGGGTACTTTATCGTACAGAGTGGAATACTATATTGAGAGCACACGTAGGCGCTGGTATCCGTGACACGACCGTCGTCAAAAAGAAGAAAGCCCAGCTACCAACCCACAATTTGCCGCACCCGACGCCCATCTCGGGCGACTGGCTCAACTCGCGCACGATGATCAACAACTACATCATCTTGGAGAGCCTCGGTGTCGGGAGCTACGCCGAGGTCAAGCTCTGCAAGGAAAAGGCGTCCGGGCAGCTCTTTGCCATGAAGTTTATTGATCGTGACATTATGCACAAACACGGCAAGCTCAATCGGCAACCCGACGCGCTCAACGACATCAAGCGCGAGATTGCCATCATGAAGAAGCTGAATCATCCGAACGTGCTGCGGCTCTTTGAGGTCATGGACGACCCGCACGTCAACAAGCTCTTCCTCGTCCTCGAGTTCATGCAGCTCGGCGACTTGTTGAGTTTTCAAAAAAAGACCAAGCCGTCCTCGACAAGTGACACGATTTGCGCACCAATGCTCGACCCAGAGCTGCACGGCGTCGCCCTCCAAGTGCTCCACGGCCTCGCGTACCTCCACGACCAGAACATCGTTCACGGCGATCTCAAGCCT